GGGACAGCCAACTTAACTGTGGGAACCAGGCAAGGCAACTTCCTGACTTTCTGTGCTAAAGAAACCCCACCATCAGTTCAACCTAAGTGCAGGGATCTGGAGAAATATTTAAGAGATTTAAGTTTAAAACAAAAACCCAACAACCACCCCCATATCAGACTGACTACGTATAGTTAGCTCTCTATATGCCTAAAATGGAAAGATCATTGGCAAGATTAATCCAAAATGGTAAAAAAAAAAAAAAATCCTAAAATCATTGCTGGTTCTTAACTCACAAGAGAATGGGATCAGCAATGCAATTTCTCCTAAAGTTAACCCTAGCACACAGTTTTCAATAAGTACTTACTGAATGTACTTACAATACTTCAATAATAAATAAATAAATGAATAGGCTCTCAAGTAAACATTTGGAGTTATTCAAACCTCTTTATCTGTCTGCACCTGGGTTATGCCAGAAAGCTGTCTGGACTGGGAGTCAGGACATCTGGGTTCTGGTCTCGGCTCTACCAGTAATTGTCTATGTGACCTCAGGTTAAGTCACAGTATTTAATTTGGTGAGAGAGCAAGAGCAAATGCAAGCATGTTCCTTTCAGCAACATCATTTAACAGAGCCCCGGTTGTATGACAATCACCCTGTCTCTAATTTGGCACAAAACTACAACCCTTTAGCCACACTGGAACAACCAGATAGCTGAAGATGGGCAGTGGCTGACAGAAAAGGCAATGAGAGGGGGTCCTGAAGAAAGTGAACGGGCATGGAATGTCAGGGAGGTAATTCTACACCATGTTCCCAACATTGTAAAACCACTTCTAAATCAAGGCCCCCTCATTTCCTGCCCTGTGGTAGAGTGTGAGCTCCAAGCTCTCATTTACTAATCGAGTAGAAAACCCCCCAGCACCAGAAGAAAAAGAAAGGGCTTGGCCAGCCAATTCACAGAATACAAATGGCAAGAAACATAAGGCAGACGGGAGGCACAAAAAATGTTTGACCTCATTATTAACAAAAGAAATAGAAATGAAGCGACAACGAGATACCAGTTTACAACTATCAAATTACCAAATGCTTAAATGAGATGTGTTGAAGGAGGCTCTCCGATACACTGCTGGCAGGACTAACAGTGATAGGCTTTTTGTAAAGCCATATTTATCAAAAGCCTTTAAAAGAGTACTCCATTTGACTCTTGTGATTCCACTTCTAGGAATCTATCCTAAGGAAATAATCACAGATATACCTATATATAAAGAAGTTCATCACAACAGGATTTATAATAATGAAAAACGAAACTCCTACATGGCTGACAATAGGGGGTTATGTATATGTTATGGAATCATTAAGTATTTTCAAATGATTTCTAATGATATGGAAAATGCTAAGTAAAAAAAAAGCAGGATTACAGACTCTATAGTTGAATTCCAGTTACGTTTAAAAATATGCATGCACACGGGGGCACCTGGCTGGCTCAGTCAATAGAGCATGCGACTCGATCTCATGGTTGTAAGTTCGAGCCCCATGTTGGGGGTAGAAGACTAGAAGGAAATACACCAAAACATTAACAGTTATTGTATCTTGGTGATGAGTTTATGGGTAATTTTTAAAATTATCTTACTTTCCCAATTTTCAACAATGAGCATGTGTTGCTTTTAAAATTAAAAAGCACATTAAGGGTATGAGGGGAGGGGGATGTTTGTTTATTTTCTGAGTTTTCCGAATATTTAGAGGCAGAAAGGGACCTCTGATATAATACAGTGGTTCTCAACCCTATCAGCCCCAATCCTCCCTTGGTAGCTACAATATTTTGTGATGCACCCTTTGCCATCCTGAAACGACTTTCATAGGTAAGATAACCTGCTATTTATATACATAATTTCCAGAATAGTAATGTAATATACTAATTATAATATAAAGGAGAAAAAAAGGAAGTTTGTTTATGAGAGAATATATATTTCAATACGCAAATGCCTGGGCAAGACTACACTAAAAGATATAATAAAGCACTCAGAGGCTTCCACTTACATATGTAGATCCACTGTGAATGCAATTGCTACAAAGAAAGACAAATACAGGTACATTGCACTGGCAACTTAAAAATCCATGAATGACACTGCGTTGGTGACTTGATTTTCGAAAGTCACAACTCTTGGTAAAGTTCTGAACCAAATAAAATACCATCTTCCCTCAATTTACACAGTTGTTGCAGTCCTGGAAATTCAGTGTATATATTGAAATTGTACAAACAGGGGCACCTGGGTGGCTCAGTCAGTTAAGTGTCCAACTCTTGATTTCAGCTCAGGTCATGATCTTAGGATAGTGAGATCCAGTCCCCCACTCAGCGGGGAGTCTGCTTGAGATTCTCTCCCTCTCCCTCTGCCCCTCCCCCTGCTCGCTCTCTCTCTCTCTCAAATAAATCTTTAAAAAAAATAAAATTGTAAAAACATATTTTGTGTTGATTTGTAAAATAATTAGGCCAAGCTACTTACACTAGGTTTTCCCACTTACATTGATGTCCTATAGGATATTTGAAAATTTACAGATACAGATTTCTAGATCCCATTCCCACTTCATATTTATCCAAAACACGAAATTCATAATGACTCCCTCTTTTGTGAGTTGGGCTTGCAGCCTTTAAAACTAATGACATTCACAGTTTTAGCCTTTGATACTATTTCTAAAACCCACTGCCTAAGAATAGCAAGTGATTCCTAGAATGTATTCTTTTTTTAAAAAGATTTATTTATTTGAAAGAGAGCACGCATGTAGGGGGTGGAGAGAGGGAGAAAGAGAATCTCAACCAGACCCCTTGCTGAGGGCACAGCCCAACCCGGGGCTCGATCCCACGACCCTGAGATCATGACCTGAGCCAAAACCAAGAGTCAGATGCTCAACCAACTGAGCCACCCAAGCACCCCTAGAATGTATTCTTTTGGAATTATTGAAAGCATTGCTCTTCTTTAGTAGCACCAAGCACAAGGACAAATTGTCAGTTTTTTGAAACCATTTACTGTGATCCCTTGGTGATTTTCCCTAGCCTGGCCCCATCCTCAGAAGTAAAATGAACAGAGCTGGAAGAAAAGGACTAACAGGGCTAGACCATGGGGAGAGAGGGGGTGCTAGGTTGCTAGGTTACCACTTGAGCCAATCTAAGCAGTCCCAGAGGAGTACCAGATACAGGACAGGTCCCTCTCCCTGCTCCACTAGGCTGAGGGCTCTCTTAAAGGAAGGGGGTCAAAAGGTGGGGGAGGGGCTGGTCACACACTAGGCACAAGTAAAGAAGTGAGGCAGAAGCACAAAGAAACAGACATCCCTGTATTTCTAAAACCATTCAAGTCTCCTTCATTAATTGGCTTCACCCCAAAAAGAAAGATTTCTTTATTAAGAAATACCAGAGAGTGAAAAACCTATCACACATACACATTTGCAGGTTCACACAAAAGTGCAGAGATTTACATATTAAACTGCATTTAAGTTAGAAAATAGATTTAAAAACAAAATACTTTTTTCCCCAACAAGGTAAAGAGATTTGGTCAGTAGGAAAAGGGACCTTAAGGGTAAAGGCAGGAAGGACAGGGCAGGAAGAATGGAATTTAGCTGCTATAGAATTAGAACCTACATCTACCACTGGGAAAAAAAATGCAAAGGGGGAGATGATGCTCTCCACTAGGGCAAAGAGGGCCCCGGAGCCAAACGGACATGAAGAAGTGGTCCCAAATAGCCAAATCCCACCACTCCACAGGGGTTTTGGATCCATGCCAGCCACCCTGGCCTGGGGAAGTGGGGTGCATAGGAAACTTAAGGGTTGGAGAGGAAGGGGAGAGGTGGAAAGAATGTTAGCCATTGAAAAGAGTGAACAATTTAAGGCCTATTCCCCCGGGAAGGACCAATTCTTCAGTCTCCTCTCTGATCTGTAACTCAGACTAGGGACAGTCCCAGCTGGTGCACAGTATGAATGGGACAGATCTTCAGGCCAAGGCCTTAAATACAGACAATTTATAAAGGAAAAGGAAGAGGACAGGGAGTATATGAAAAAAGCAGAAACTTTTAAAAAACTGATTTCACACTAGAGATAAGGGATTTCCAGGTTTACCCTTCATCTTAGAAAGAGAAAGCTTCTCTGACAGACCTCAGGGTCAGCAGAAGAGTGGTTGAGGTTAAGTTGAGTGAGGAGAGAAATCTGTCATAACCCAAGAGAAAAGATGGGCTGAGACAGGGTAGGCTGAGAACTGACTAAAAAGGGGTTCATCTGAGTGTCAGGTTAACTGGAAAAACCTAGTAACTTCCAAACTCTCGAGGCTTGGCCTCATTTTGTACTAACTAAAATCTAACTACAAGGATAAACCTGAGAGATCCAGAAAAAGAATGGGAAAGTAGAAGCAGATAGGAGAGGAATCTGAGTCAGTCAGAGCCAGTCTCCCCACTCCCCTTAAGGATTGCTACACTCAAACCCTGTTACAAGGAAAATAGGAAGACATATGGAAAAATCTGGAAGCAGCTAAATTTCATTAATTTTAATTAACTGGGAAGGCTGAGATAGGCATTGGTAAGGAGTCTTGACTTTAGACCATTTAAAAAGAAATATATACCATCGCTTGTAAAAGATCACTAACAAAATATTTCCAAGAGGGGGCCCTGATGAGCCTGCTTTAATAACTAAGACTCATTTGCAATTAACAGCATCCCTCTGCATAAAAACAATATCCTAATAAAGAACATTTTCTCTTAAGTAAATATAACCCCCTCCGACCCTCCCAATCTTGCTAACACTGTATATTGCCTTGAAAGTCCTTTTTTCATAGCCCAGAATCAGGTAAACGTCAGCCCAGAATGTGGTATAGATCAGTGGAGAGTTTGGGAGCTATCTCTCCAACTCAAGGGCCCCCTAGGAAATGGGAGTATGGGTAGTAACAAGCAACCCCTTCAACCCCCACCCCCACCCCCCCACACAAAGACATTCACAACCTCATGGTGGTTCTTGAAATGGAAGGGGGAAGGAGGAGGCAGGCAGTTTGCATTAGACACAGTTTAATCACCTTCAAATAGATTAAAAGTTCTGGTTTACACTTCCCCCCCCTCCCCGTAAGTCATCCAGACAGGACCCTGGCTTAGAAAGAGAAAAACACAGGTGCTTTAGGAAATATAGCCACATATAATACATAAATCTTCTTCCCTGAAATAGAGCAGGTCCTGAGCAGAGCTGACTGGGGGCCACGGCCCACCCCCAGGGTGAAGTGGCTCTGGGACTCTGCCGGTGGAAGTGCTGGAAGAGCGGGGCTTGGACAAAGCCCCTGTGTGGTTACCAAGCCCGAAGTGGGCCAAGGCCTTGGAGTGGGTTTACCCGGGAGGGCAGCAGTGCTGGGCTTTCCCTCCTCACTCAGCCGAGGCCTAATGGAAGTACTGGTTATTCTTTTTTTTTTTTCTTTTTTGAGGGGACATAGGGGGAGAGGAGAGGAGAGGAGAGCCTCTCTGTGCCTTGGTTTCCCCACTTGTGCATTCAGGGCCTGTACAGGCCTCACACAGGGAGTCTGAGGGGGTAGTGTTTAAGTGAGCACTCAGGCTTCCTCTGAGGAAAAGGAACCACCAAAGTGCAGACTTTTATTACTGCCATTCCTGCTCCTAGTGGGAGCAGGAGTCAAAAGGAAAACAAAAGGGGCTAACGAGAAAGGAGAGATGAGACAAAGAGTGCGAGGGGCCATGCCGTTGGCATCTCATCAATTCTTACTAAGAATGGCACAGGTATTACAAAGTTTCTGGACAGTCTACAAGAAATGTGAATTGTTATCTCTACGGTAACTACTTACATATATCTAACTGGAAAAGAGTGGGGCTTGGGTGTTAAGAGTGGGCAGGGGACAAAGGAGAAGCTACATGAATAAATACAAGTGGAAGTTACCTGCCCCGTTCCTGAAAGGATTTGCTGGCAATGTTGGCACTTTGTAGCCAGGAGAATCCTCCAAGCCCACTCTTCAATTCTGAAGGCCCCAAGAATCCAGTTAGGATTCCCCGGCCAGGGTTCTCTGTGACTGCCTCTGGACTCAGGACATGCAGCAGCTTGAGAGGATTTGAGCCAGTCTCAAGAACCGTTAACCCCAGAATTGGAATAATGACCCCAAGCAGGAGAGCTGGGATCTGGAGGAAAGAGAAGGGAGTCCAAGGAGACTCCGTGTCTGAGGCCATGGAAAGCCAGTGCCAGGGCCTAAGAGACCCATTTGTCCAGTTACTAGAGGTGACTGACATCTTCTGTGACTGCCTTGAGTCCAGAAATTAAAAAAAGCTTGCAGCAAGAAAATGCCAGTGTGCAGTTGGGTGAATAAAGACAAAGGAAAACAGTAAAAGGGACAGCTCACTTGCTCTCTGTCTCAGGTTTATCTTCTCCCCTTAAATCTCTCACAGCCCTAATTAAACACAAACAAAAGTCTCTTCCATAGATAGGCTACTTCTCAGCTTCAGTCACCTCCTGTGGTGGCTCTGGGGGCTCTGGGGGTGGCATCTCTTCAGGAGTGCTGGTGTCCTCCGGCATCTCGTTTGGGCTCAGATGTTCTGTTGGGGCCTGAGAAGGAAAACAAATCAAATTCAATGCAAAGCTCTCCCTTAAAATCCAAATGGAGATAATACACAGACACTGAACTCTTCTTCTGAACCCATCAACCACACTGATGCTACAGATATGCAGCCCCTGACACCACACTCGGAACCAAGACTGAACTACAGTCTTCTCAACAGAATGCAACTGAAGTGTGAGTTCTATTCTTCACTGTTGTGGACAGATGTTTCCCTTATTATTCACGATAAAAATAAAATGGACCATAAATAATTACACAGAACCCCCACCTTCACAACAGAATGCTATAACATACTTGTCTAACAAGGCCTGATCCAGTGGTTCTCAATCTTTTTTTTTTCTCTTAACACACAGCTCACTAGAACAGTGATTCTAAACCAAACAGGGTGGGGTGGCAAAATCTTCAGATGGTATATGTGGTTGGAAAATGCCCCGAGTGATTCTAAAATACTATCCTTCCCTACATTCAACTTAGCATCACTAACCTAGATTGTTATGATTTAAGATCAGATTCATCAGAAAAATGATATTAAAATGATGATAATAATATATAAACAAGAGTTTGCTTTACTTCAAAAAAAGAAAATTCAAAATTTAGGAAAGGCAAAGTAGAGAACAATTATCTACTTTACAGAAATCATTCACTTTTTTAAAAGTAGGATTCTATTTGAAAAGAAAGTTCAAATCTACTAAAAATCTATTAGAATAAACAAGTTCAGCAAGGTTTCAAAATACAAGATCAGTATACAAAAATCAACTGAATTTCTATATACTCCCAATGTACAATCCAAAAATGTAATTAGGAAAATAATTTCATTTGCAATAATATCAAAAAGAATAAAATACTTACGAATAAATGTAACAAAAGAAGTAAAAAACTTATACTCCGGGGGCACCTGGTTGGCTCAGTTGGAGAAGCATGTGACTCTTGATCTTGAGTCATGAGTCTGAGCCCCACGATGGGTGTAGAGATTACTTAAATAAATAAAACTTAAAAAAAAAAAAAAAAACTTATACTAGGGGCGCCTGGGTTGTTCAGTTGGTTAAGCGTCTGACTCTTAATTTCAGCTCAGGTCATGATCTCAGGGTCAAAAGATGAAGCCCCGCATTGGTTCTGTGCTCAGCATAGAGTCTGCTTGAGATTCTCTCTCCCTCTTCCTCTGCCCCTCCCCCTGCTCGCGTGTGCACCCTCTAAATAAATAAAATTAAAAAAAACTTATACTCTGAAAAATACATTAAAGAAGACCTAAACAAATGAAGACAGCCCATGTTAATAGTTCAGAAGATTTAATCTTGTTAGAAAGACAATACTCCAAAAATTGATCTATAGATTCAATGCAATCCCCATCAAAATTCCAGTTGGCTTCTTTGCAAACAGACAAGGTGATCCCAAGATGCATAGGGACATTCAAGGGACCCAGAACAGCCAAAACAATTGAATAAATAAAGAATAAATTTGTACTACTCACATTTCCTAATTTCAAAACTTACTACAACACTACAATAACCAAGACGGTGTGATACTGGCACAAGAATAGAGATACTGATCAGTGAAATAAGATTAAGGGTCCAGAAACAAACTCTTGCATTTACAGTCAATTGATTTTTTATTTATTTATTTATTCATTAACAGAGAGAGATAGCGAGAGCAGGAACACAAGCAGGGGGAGTGAGAGAGAGAGAAGCAGGCTTCCTGCCGAGCAGGGAGCCCGATGTGGGGCTCGATCCCAGGACCCTGGGATCATGACCTGAGCTTAAGGCAGACACTTAATGACTGAGCCACCTAGGTGCCCTACAGTCAACTGATTCTTGACAAGGGTGCCAAGACAATTCAATGGGGAAAAAATCGTCTTTTCAACAAAGGGTACTGAGACAACTGGATATCCACATGCAAAAGAAAGAATTTGAACCCCCTACCTCACACCATATATACAAATTAGTTCAAAATGGATCAAAGATCTAAACATAAGAGCTAAAACTATAAAATTCTTAGAAAAAACAGAGGCATAAGTCTTCGTGACCTTGGATTAGACAATGGTTTATTAGATCTGACAACAAAAGCCCAAGAAACAAAAGAAAAAAATAGATACATTGGACTACATCAAAATTTAAACTTTTGTGCTTTAAAGGACACCATCAAGAAAGTGAAAAGACAACCCACAGAATGGGAGAAAATATTTACAAATCATATATCTGATAAGGGACTAACACAGAGAATATATAAAGAATTCTTGGTACTCAATAATTAAAAAAAAAAACACCAAATTGCCCAATTTAAAAATAGATAAAGGATCTGAATAGACACTTCTCCAAAGAAGATATACAAATGGCCAATAAGCTCATGACAAAATGCTCAACATCATTAGGGAAATGCAAATTGTAACCGTAACCATAATGAGATACCACTACATTACCCACTAGGATGGCTAGAACCAAAATGTCAAATAATAATGACAAGTGTTGCCAAGAATGTGGAGAAACTGACACCCTCATACACTCCTGGTGGGGGATGTAGAAGGGTTGCAGGTACTTTGGAAAACAGTCCACCAGGTACTCAAAAGGTTAAACATAGAGTTATTATATGACCTAGTGATTTCACTCCTGGGTATACAGCCAAGACAAATGAATGCATATGTGTCTACGCAAAAACTTGCACAGGCAAGTTCATCGCTGCATTATTCATAATAATCAAAAAGTGCAAAGAACCCAAATGGCTATCAGTGGAGGAATATATACATAAAATGTGGTACTATCCATATAAGGGAATATTATTCGGCCATATAAAGGAATGAAGTACTGCTACATGAGACAACATGGATGAACCTTGAAAATATTATGTCAAATAACAGAAGCCAGTCATAAATGACCACACATGATATGATTCCATTTATAAGGAATGTACAGAAGAGGAAAATCTATAGCAAAAGAAAGTAGATTAATAGTTGCCTAAGGATGGGGTTGGGGGAACTAGGAAGAAAGAGAGAGTGACTGCTGACGGGTACAGGGGTTTGGTGAGGGATCATGAAAATGTTTTTAAAATTGATTGTTGTGATGATTGCACAAATCTGTGAATATACTACAAACCAGTGAGCTGTACATTTTAAATAGGGATTTTATAATGTGTGAATTATAGCTCAATAAAGCTATTATTAAAAAAAAAAAAAAGAAATGTCAAGGGGTGCCTGGGTGGCTCAGTTGGTTAAGCGTCTGCCTTCGGCTCAGGTCATGATCTCAGGGTCCTGGGATTGAGCCCCGCGTCGGGCTCCCTGCTCAGCGGGAAGTTTCCTTCTCCCTCTGCTCCTCTCCTTGTTCATGCTCTCTCTCTCAAATAAATAAATGAATAAAATCTTTAAAAATTGTCAAATAGTAACTTTTTAGGAACATGCTTTGTAAAGTATATCCTAAGCAAGACAGCTGGGAGATTTTCCACAACATCTGCATATGCTAGGGAGGAAGCCCCCTTCCACCAAGGTAACCCCTCCATTAATTCTAACCCACTGTCCTGACCCCTATCTTTGCTCTGATAGCATTTTATGCTTCCCTCCTCAAGGCACTTTTCATAACATTGAGCAATGGCCTGTTTTCTTGTCTCTCATCCCCACTAGACAACGAGCTCCTTGAGAGCAGGGACATTGTTTGCCTTGTTCACTGGCATATCCCTAGCACCTAGCACAGTGACTGTGCTTAATCTACCTCAAGGGCACAAAGATCTGAAGACAATGTCAGGGCAGAAGCAGAGACAGAGAAGCTGGAACGACTGGACATGAAATTGCCTAATTATATCTCAAAGGTGTAAATTTAGCCTACACCTTCTATCACTGACTCAGCCATTACATCAGGAATACTTACTGGGCTCTGTGGCAAAAGGCTGCTACTGGTCTCTTGAGTACTGGGAGGTCGACTTCCACTTTCCTCCAGTGGCAAAATACCCCTTCGGTCCAGCACACTGAAAGAGAGAGGACTGTTAATAAAGCATTTTGTATTCACCCCTCCACCCACCCACCCCCAGAACCTCATTGTGTGTTCTAGAAAACATAAACCTGACCTTTAGCAGCCTAGTGTTTCCTAACACATGTCTCCTGTCTTCCATTCAGTTTTTTCTTCCACAGACCAGGGAACACCACATTAAGCAGGGAACAAACAAATGAAATAAGAATGAAAGGTCATCCCTTCAAAACAACTAGCCTGTGGTCTGTGGTCTGTGTAGATATGGCACCGAGGGATAATCCCCAGGAAGACCCATTTGACCCCAAAAGGCCACATTCAGAAGAATGCATCAAGGGCTCCTGGGGGGCTCAGGCAGTTGAGCATCCAACTCTTGATTTTGGCTCAGGTCATGATCTCAGGGTCCTGGGATCGAGCCCCCATGTCAGGCTCCCCGCTCAGTGGGGAATCTGCTTCAGGATTCTCTCTCTCTACCTCTCCCTCTACCCCTCTCCTACCCCGCTCTTGCTTTCTCTCTCCAATTTAAAAAAGAAAAAGAATGCATCAGGCCAGGTAATAGGATCAGGTTGAATTGCTTGTCCCAAGAATCCCAGTATCTTCTAGTCCTCTGAGTACCTGGGGGGCAAGGGGCCACACAGCACTTCACAGCAGTTCTTCACAATGTTGCCATGGCTATAGGGATTCTGGACACGATTCTTCCCTGTCCATGAGCCTTTGATCTGCAAGATAAAAGCCAAGGCTTATAGTAAAAATTATGTTGCAGAAATACTTGCAGCATGGAAAGATGAAAAGCTCTGGAGATGGATAGTGGTGATGGTAGCACAACAACATGAATGTACTTCCTGCCACTGAATTCTACATTTAAACATAGCTAAGATGGTACATTTTATATTATGTATATTTTACCACAACAGGAAAAAAAGAAATACCTGCCTAGCCATGGAAAAATGTTCACAATCGAGTGAAAAATCAGAGGCTGAACAGTATGTATTATTTTCAATTAAAAATACGAAATATATATTCATCTAAACAAACATGGGAACAAGTCTGGAAGACTGCAAATCATACCATTAACAATGGTGAATTTAGATAAAAACTTAAAAAAAAAAACAAACCATGGTGACATCCAGGAGGTAAAGTTACAGGGACTTATTTGCTATGTTTTACTCATCTGTATTTTCTGATTTTCTACAATGAGCATGGATTAATTGGTAAGTTTTAAAAAGCAGGGATTTATTCAGTGCAACTGCCCCTCTCCATTCCAAATCCAGAGGCACTAACTAGCCTTTAAGGACCTATGAACAGCTGAAGACCTTGTACCCACTCAACCACTGAACCCCTTCTTTCCAATTCTCAATAGGCACTCAGCTCCAAACAAAGCAGTGTGCTTTCTCTTCCACGCATTGGATTTAACAATCTCCCAAGCCAGGTTTCTGTCTACCTCGACCTCCCAAGCCCTGGAGACTCAGTTCTCAAGCGGGTAATGAGAGAATAGGTTTTGGGGAGAGAAAGAATATGTGATGAGGAAAAGGGAAAGTTGACTCACGTCTTCATTGGTTGTCTGGTTGAGAGCCACGAGGAAAGTGTGAAATCCAGTCAGTCCCACGACGGACCAGAGTGTGAAGAAGCAAATGAGCACTTCTAGAACAGTGAGGTGATGCTAAGGAATGTTGAAGAAGCTACACCAGGGACTCAAGGCCTCAGCCCATACTCATGGCACCAATCACACCATCTTTACCTCTCAGAACATATACCACAAGTGGCCAAGTATCCATATATAACAACAGATGAATTCTAAACTCGCTGCATATATGAAAGGTGAAGGACTCCTCTTTATTCACTACGAGTAGCTCTCTAACATTTCTGGCGTTTTTAAGTGTTTGTTTATTCATCATTAGTTCTTTGAAGAGAACGTTTAGAAGAGGGCCAAAGCTAAATAATGTTGGCCATCACTGCCAGTGGGAAATCCATCAAAAAATAAACCTTATAAATGAAAATTTGGTGGGAAAAACAGAACGTGACTTACAGAAATCCCATCTGAATCTCCTTTTCAGAAATGCAACTGTTGTACAAAATAAGCCTGAGCTGTAACAGAAAGGGAGGACTTTGGTCAAGCGACATAAGGGGTGTACTGAAACAAACACAGGCTGAGCCCGGGATCAGAAGGACTTGTGAGGGAGGCAGTGGAGAACAGGCTGAGGGAAAGACCTCCATTTAAGCCCTGGCCATCTTCCATTCCGGTTGCTACCATTAAGACTATATATTTTTTTTTAATTTCAGATCTTGGCACTCTCTAACATCTAAAAAACGAGACGGTGGGAGAAATGCAGAGAGAACGCCTACTCGAAAGTAGTTTAAGAGGGAGTCACAGGGACATACTGCCAGGGGAGGATATGTTCCAGGAGTTTCTTTCAACGTCTCCAGGAAGCCAATTTTCAAGGATTCTGTTAAATTGGGAGGACAAGTAGAAAGAAAAATCAATGACTTTAGTAAAAAATGCACACTTATCCTAGTACCCACTCATTTCCTTCCCTCCCTATCCCTTGTTACAAGCTGGCAAGAGATTAGCCCTCACTCAGACAAGGGACTCTCACCTACAAGCTGGCAGTATCCTCACTGAAGAGTTTACATTTTCACTGCGGGACGACCTGGCATTGGACTACAGAGTCTGGCAGAAGCCAAGCTTCCTGCTCCTCTCCCTTTCCCTGAGCCCCCAACTATGGCCATGGATGGGGAATATTCATTCATAGATGAAAGAAATCAGAAATATCTAAGAAAAATCCTTTCTCCTCACCAATCCGTGTACCTCCTTTGTTCAAAATCCAGCTGAGAACTCATCTCTTGATCAAGAAGCCTCTTTTAACTCCACATCCCATCTGTCTTTAGGGTGATTTGGTGTGTGTGTGTGCACGCATGCACATGCACACATGCATATGCACACATGTGGGTGTGTATTTTCTGTCTCCCAAAGTAGACCATGAGCTACTGAAAGGCATTTCTCTAGTATAACCCCCTTCTACCACCTGGCACAGAGCAGGTCTTATAAGACAGAAGAAGAAAGTATGCAGTCCTTGGGATCACCTCAGAAATGCCCACTACTCTGGGTACAGACCAGTAATCAGAGCCTCAGTCTTCAGCAGAAGGCCAATGAAAAGGCCAACACGCTCAGGAATACGGATTGATGTGAGCTGAGGTTTGGAGCTCTGCTCAAGAGCAGAGTAGTATTCATTTCTAATTGGTCCTAGGGTGCCTTTGTAATAGTAAAGTCCCACCAAGAAACCCAGCCACTCCCCTCAGCTCTCCTTAAGTCTTCTCCCACCTTTCACCAACAGACACTGCCCTGCATACTCACTGAGAGCCACATAGACGATGTTGAAGGCGAAGACATAGATCGTGAGGAGGGAGAGAGAGAGGATAAAGAGGTAGAAGTAACGGTAGTTCCTCTTTCCAACACAATTCCCCACCCAGGGGCAGTGATGGTCGAAGCGCTCTGTGGGAGAAAGAGAGTCCAGTGCCAAAGCCTCCAAAACAAAGCACAACATGCCATCCACATAGTACCTAATTTAAAGACCCCCAGGATCACTGCCGATTTCAATTATAAAAAAAACACTGGTTTCTATTTTTCACTTTTTCAGAATGTTTTCAGTCATCTCATTTGATCCCCACAATCACCCTGGAAGTCAAGCAAAAGAAGATATTCTTGTCCTCACATTGCAGTTGAAGAAACTAAGGCACTGAGGGGTCAAGTGAACTGCCTCACTGTCAGTTGACAACAGAGACTTTGCTTTTCCAAAGAAAAATCTTAGGTGGACTTACTAAGTTCAGGAAGAATAAGTAGGTGAAAAAATAGCCAAGGAAATTTTAAAAAAATGAGTAGTATGGTTTTTCTTAGCCTCTAGTTTTTTTTAAAAAATGATAAAACTACAGGGGCACCTGGGTGGCTCAGTCGGTTAAGTGTCTGACTCTTGATTTCCACTCAGGTCATGATCTCAGGGTTGTGAGATCCAGTCCTACACTGGGCTCTGAGCTGGGCATGGAGCCTGCTTAAGATTCTCTCTCTCCCTCTCCCTCTGCCCCTCTTCCCCCCCTTCTCTCTACCTCTCTAAAAAAATTAAAAAATCAATGTAAAAACAAAATATAACCATAAAATAATTATAAAGAATAGATGAGGGGTGCCTGGGTGGCACAGCCAGTTGAGGGCCAACTCTTGGTTTTGGCTCAGGTCGTGATCTCAGGGTCGTGAGATCAAGCCTCGAGTCAGGTTCCGCACTCAGTGCGGAGTCTGCTTGAGATTCTCTCCCTCTGCCCCTCCTGCTCCTGCTCGCTCTCTCTAAAGTAAATAAATAAGTCTTTAAAAAAAAAGAATGGATGAACATTTATCCACTGTATAGACAAGTATTTTCTAAGTAACCATAAAAGTAATGAAAGAAAACACAGATATTAAAGAAAAATATATTCGACTCCATAAACCTTAAAAAATAGCTTAAATACATTAAAAATACTATAAAAGAATATTAAACAGGAAAAAACCAACAGAAATATATGTAAATTTTAGACCTTAGTATATGAGAAATCCTTATAAATCAATAACAAATTACAAATACTCCTTCAAGAAAATAGTCAAAGGGCAAAACAGTTAACAAATACCACATAAACATATATTTAAATGTTTTCAGATTCATTAATAATTCAGTGCAATACTAGTACAATTTTTGCCCATCAAAATAAGAATATAAAAAAACAATATCCAGTGCTGGTGATAATAGCTTAAAATGGACACTAATATACTCTTTGTGGGAGTATAAATTGAGAGAGCCTTTCTGAAAAGCAGTTTGGCGGTGTGTATCAACAGCCATAATAAGGCTCACACCCCTTTGGCAAAATAAATCCATTTTCAGTAATTTCTCATAAGGAAATAGAGATGTGCACAGAAATTTAAGTTCAGTAATTTTTTTTTATTTTTTTTTAAAGATTTTATTTATTTATTTGACAGAGAGAGACATAGTGAGAGAGGGAACACAAGCAGGGGGAGTGGGAGAGGGAGAAGCAGGCT